AAAGCGAAATTCTACGAACAACACATACTCCTCGCGTGCCTCCCCACCAATAGTATCACCGTTACACCGGTGCCGATTTCCCGAATGGTAATCCTTGAAAAGGCATTCCTCGTTCAGTGTACCGACGGTTTGGCGCTGAATGACACAGCCTCGTTCTGATATGTCCCAGTTCTTATAGCTACCAGGAACCCTACATCACCCACATCTGATGCGTTTAGAAACTGTATCGTCATACTGGCTTGTAATGGATCAGAAATCTAGCGAAGAATTGCCGACCTGGAAGCCCTTCGAACAAAAAAGTCGAAAAAGCAGGTAAATGTGATTGTATCAGCGCAGTGGCTGCAACTATAATTACTCTGTAGTTTCCTTTCTTTTCACTTCGCGCTTCACTTCTCCATGCTACCCTGATGTTGAGATCCGTAAGGTAAACTGTTCGCCCCCGTGAAGAACTCTCATTCTGAATTTGGTTCAAGGTCCCACATGTAAAATTGACTCGGAGAATTCGCATGGAACTTTCCTCACGGCCTTCCGCCTCCTATGCACATTTTCATGTACAGCCTCGCCAGTACCGCGATGAAATTTCGCCGCTGCACAACGAACAAACTGCACCCAGTCTGTCTGTCCGTTTACCCGCCTAGCTAGCTATCTGTCTCTGTCTGTCTGTCTGTCTGTCTGTCTGTCTGTCTGTCTGTCTGTCTGTCTGTCTGTCTGTCTGTCTGTCTGTCTGTCTGTCTGTCTGTCTGTCTGTCTGTCTGTCTGTCTGTCTGTCTGTCTGTCTGTCTGTCTGTCTGTCTGTCTGTCTGTCTGTCTGTCTGTCTGTCTGTCGCGCCGGTATTTTATCCTCATTTGGCTACTTATTCCGATGCAGATCCTACAGTCAAACGCGTTCTTTTATGCATACTTTTAGCACAGACAAATAATGCATCTTTTGATTTCCACGCTGTCTTGATATACCGTCTTTGATAAGTGATAACGACTTCATTTTGCGTTTCGTCTCGGAACTAAGCAGCTAAATATGGAGATGAACGCATCGAATGAAGGTTCATGCACTACCAAGATGGGCACACTGTGGTGGTCATTGCCTGGCCACCACATCGCCCGAAGGAAACACGAGGGCTGAGGTACTGCCTGATCCCTCAAGCCTAGACACGGGCAGTCGAGATGCCGGGGTTAAGTTTGAACCACGGACCCTCTGGTAAGTTCGCCTCTTAACCACTGAGCTGTCTCGCAATACAGTAGTGGAACACTGCAACCAGATATCTCCACGGCGTGACCGGGTATTTGAGGAACTTCACAGAACTGCAAGTGAAGGTATTGCTGTGGTATACTTTTTCCCGGAAATTCCCCAAACGAGAGATAGATAAGGTTTATTTCCTAACATATAACTACATACGATGTTGTAACAGGATTTTCAGCAACCCACTACCAGTTTTGCCATGCTCGGAGCTCATCACGTGGATTAATTTCCTGAATTTCCCTCAACCTTATTTCTTATTTCTTTCTTTATTTCTCGTGCGTCAAAGTGCACGAGATTAAGGTGATACGTTTATTTGAATATTGACTTGGAGAATTCAGCTGATATTAGGCCTCTTTTGACAAGTAATCGGGGCATCTCAAGAAGTCATCTTGATTGACCAACTCAGATTTTCTGACTGTACACAGTAGACGATAAGCAAAATAGCTCAGTGGTTAGAGCACGACTTTGCTGACCGGAAGGTTTGCGGTTCGAACCCGACCTCTGCTTCTCGACTTCCCCTGTCTAGGCTGGGGCAACCTGGCAGTCTCCAAGACCTCGTGCTTCCTTTGGGTGGCATGGGAGCTAGGCACCGAGGAGTTGTTACAGTTGGACGATTATCTTTATTTTAAGCCAACAATGTAACTCATCCGCGCTCCACGAGTGTGCGCCGTCCACGTCACTGTCACATGGAATTCTGTCCGATTGTTAGACGGAAATTTTCGCTGATGACACAAGGCATTTTTGTGGTCATTTTGAATTGCGGGAACCAATCCATACACGATGATTCAGGGATAATTTCCGATGAAGATCTTCGATATACGGATACTGAAGACTCTCACATTATGTTTCGTAGAGATTATACAGATGGACAACAGATGGACAAAGAAACTCAACATAACCTACCACCGGCTTGTCAGTTGACCGCCGATATCGCGCGGCAAAATGTAGCGGTGTTGTTTTCTCGTCCGTTTGCACATTGATATCTGTTATATTACATAACAAGTTAAGGCAGGACACTTTTGATAACCGTAGCTACCGGATCACAGTTCCTTAAACAATGTGCTCATTATGATATATTCTGATAGTAGTAGGATATTACAAAATTTTCATCGACAGTTTTTCCCTCAGAAGTAAGTATTCTACAATGAATGGTCGAGAAATACTTCACAAAGGTGTCTTTCTTGTGCGGTCGATCAATACGTGACCATGACTGGAGCATTTGGAACGCAATAATTTGCCTAATTGCTAGTAAATCTCATTGCCAGTCAGCCATATCGACACTTTTTCAAGTTCAGATGCTTCCAGCAATTGGTTAGATGCATACTGATGATGCTTTCTAATAGGTACAGAACGGCTGTGCAGTGCTTCTTCGTTTTTCGGCATATTCTGGCTTCACTTGCCGATGAAAACTTAATGAAGCATCAGTGAGAGACAGGGAGATCCTCATCTGACAAGATCCTGACAACGGCCTTATCACGTGAAGAAAAAACTATATCAGAGTGAACAGTGCATAAGCATTCAATAAAACGACCATCAATCGGTAAGTAGCTCAGAGGAACAATAAGCCTTACCCGATGAGTGGAACCTACATCTGAGAAGTCGCTGCTCTAGGAGCTAGTCAGCGCGTCTAACCGCGTGATGTGGAATGAAGGAAGAGCAGTGCTATATATTGTCTAAGTGCGAGTTAATCACACTCCTGATCAACTGCTCACGGCCAAACAGTTAGTTGTTCAAACTACTGGCCAGGAGGTCGCGGGTTTGAGACTTTCCGGAGTTTCGCGAGATGCGCACTGCTGATGATTCTCATTAGGGGCGGGACGGCTGTAGAGTGGTTCTGGGCTTTTCAAATTGGCTTCAGTTGCAGGACAAAATCTCCACAGAAATTACTGAATCTACTCCCATTACCATCAGAAACAACGTTGTGGAAATCATTTTTAGTCACACGATCTAACCAACCAATTTGATATGCAAACCTATTGTAGGCCTCATGTCTGGTCCACAATTACAAGTCAGGCCTGCTACAAAAGGTAGGCCAAGTGTGTCTTTGCGGTCCAACAGCTTGTGTTGAGAACATCTAATTACTAACTTGAAAGTTGTCTGCCATTCCTTACCATAATAATGAACTGGTTAGTCTCTGTCGCCAGGTCAGACAGTTCAAGCATCCTTCTGCCAAACTACTGAATGGAAGCCAAAAACTTCAAAGCCCTCTCATCCTTTTTTCGTTCGGGTCTCATAAGTTCCGAATCCTAAACGACTGTTACTCAGGATAGTCTGGCACTCTCAAACTTGACTTCGGCAAACTAACTGTACGTTTCGGCATGACGTCAGCTGATTAACTACCAGTGTCGCGGTTTGCATTCGGACATCAAACTTGGTCACAGACTCAGTCTACGAACTAAAAACCAACCCGTCAAATGGAGTAAGGAGACTGCCCTTACACTCTGCCTGATGGCTGGAAAAATAACAGGTATGGGGCGCAAGTAGTCTGCAGTATGCATGCCTACTGGCTTTCTTACCGAGGGGCGATGCGTTTCTTGACCCTCGGGTGGTTTGTTGGGATGATTAGCTCACATGTTAGAACTCGGACATCTATTTCGCCCAGTTTTTGGTGCACCCATTGAGTTTCTGTCGACCTTATGTTTTGAGAGCATTTACGGGTGTAGTTTGCAAACTTTTTACAGACTGGGTTCAAGTAGAACATAAAATTGACGGAAATTTGGGGATTTTGCCCACCAGATCATCCCCAAGAAGAACAAAGCCGGTCGTTGATTGTCGACGAGCTTTTAGCAAATTTACGACTAGTTTCCTTGGAGAAAATTCTGAGTCTGCCATACAAACCAAATCAGTAGGCAAACGAGCATATTTCGAAACCTATGTGACCCAGTTTAACCCCTAAATCAAGACCGCTAGCCCGGTAGTTCAGTTAGCTGACACTTTGCTCTCTTTCTGCCGAAGCTCAGTGTGAGAATGCCAGCTAATGCTGAAAAATGTACAGTAATATCAAATAAAAAACTTTTCTATTCCTCATGTTTATGTTACGGGTGACCATTCAGTGATAATTTAGCGCCATGAACGCTGCATGGTAACTCAACTGGAATGTCATTCTGATGTCTCGGGTTTAACCGTTTTTAGTGATATGAACTTAAATGCCCACCCCTATCCTGATGATCTGTGTTTGAGCCTTTAGAACTTCAAAGACAACGGCGCAAATCGCCGGCCGTCTAATTCGTCCGTGATCAGCTTGCTTGTAACCAGAATATGAGTACCAAACACGTG